GTCGAGACTAAGCTCGTTGTTGTACACGTCGACCAAGATGTGCGGCAACATAGTGCGACTTTTGAGGAAGATGACGGGCTATTTTACGACGGTCCGCCTATTTTCGATGAGGAGCCTCCGGTGACGGAGACATATTTTTGCGGCAATATGGGTCCCGCGTGTGACATCGTAGAAGTTGAGCCTTTGACGGGGATGTGGTTATTCAAACCTGATGTTTAGAGTATTTTGGCTAACGATGGTTTGTCGGAGTTGAAGCCGTGACTCAATAACTGGTAGGCCATTTTCCGGTTGCCTATCGTGAAGTCTCCCAACGATGGGAGGCTTGGCCGTAGTTATGAATTTGAGCGCGGCGAACGATGTGGTATGTTTTGTGTTAATTCAGCAGTGTGAGTTATGTGTATAGAGGCGTGTACATGTTCCCTTGCAGCAGTTCACTCCTTGCCCAAGAATATGTTTACCTTCGAGGTTGTTGGGCGACCCTCAACCTTCGTGTTCGATCGGAGAAAACGTCGGGCTATTCCTGTTACGATGACGTCCCCAACTAGAACGAGTCAGATTTGAGGGCGAATCTTGCTCAACTGAGGAGGAATGATGCCTAATAATAATAATAATAATTATTTTTATTATTATTATTATTATTATTTTTGTTGTTGTTGTTGTTGTTGTTGTTATCATTATTACCATTATTATTATTAGGTATCTTGGAGAATAAGTTATGAATTAATATTATTATAAGAGATCTTGTCTTGTTGGACAAGTTAGAAATAGAGTTTATGAGTCTTATTTAAAGGGCTCCTCATCTATTGTTTTATTCAATTGATTATTGAATGAAAATATAAATTGATTGTGAGTTTTATCGAGAGAGTATCTCGTTTATCCTTCTCATTCGTACGCTTCCCTACATCAATATTACATACATATCTATATAACATATAAAATTTATTTGCATTTGTGCATGTGCACATGATCTAATGTTATATTTACCTAATAAATAAAATCTATTTAATTTTACCTAATAAATTTTACCTCATTAAATTTTAGTCTTAATAGATGATAGAGAAGAGAGAGAAAAAATAAAAAGTTAATGGTGTATTGATGTGTAATTAAGTAGGAGGACAATCTGACAACTTTCTGAACACAAAAACCGTTACAATTTAATAATATTATTATTATTATTATTGTTGTTGTTGTTGTTGTTGTTCTTGTTGTTGTTGTTGTGGTTGTTGTTATTGTTGTTTTTGTTGTTATTATTATTATTACATTATCCACTATCCCATTAATGATAAATATTTTTTTGCACTTTTTTTTTGGTTAATTAAGACAAATATTGTTACATATTAGATTAATTGAACAATAATTATATTTTTATTGTATCATATAATAGTTATTATTATAATTAGTAATTATATTTTAGACTAAAAGATATATGAAAGTTACATAAACATACAAATATTGTAAAAATTTTTTGTTCAAATTATCTATTCTGAAATCAATATTATATTTTTTAGTCGATTAAGCGATAACGTCATAATAAAATTTCTTAAAACCACATAAGCAATTGTTATAATAAGTTTAATATTTTTCAGCTAATCAGTTGGTCATGATCCCTCAAAACTACAAAACACATTATTTATTACATTTTATGCAATCAATATAGTGATTCATCTGAAATCAAATCATTATGTACTATTTATTTGAAACAATGATCAAATTTTATAACATAATGTCATTATCTAACTTATAATTTAATATTATATGCACAAATTTAATTTATAATATTCTGTGTTTAAAATATAATATCATTATCTAACTTATGATTTTAATATTATATCCGTGTATGACTTATAATATTTTATTAATATTTTTGTAAATTCACAGGGTTAGTGGGATGTGAACATAAATTGTTAATATTTATGTATGAATGGTGTTAACTAATTGAAAAGTCCTTAGCAAATCAATATATTTTGCGGTTAGCACGATTGGCGGATGTGTTGATAAGGATTAGATAACATATTTAAAAGGTGTTTGGACATATTTAAAAGGTGCTTGGAATAGAAGGTACTCGATTGTTTAGCCATGATATATCCTTCATCTCCAACACTTAGTTTTAGGTTGTACGAGCATGTTATGTCATGGTGTTTGGACATATTTAAAAGGTGCTTGGAATAGGAGGTACTCGATTGTTTATCCCCTGATATATCCTTTGTCTCAAACAGTTATTTTTAGGTTGTACGTGCATGTTATTATGTCATATTTGATCGTCAATGCTTGCTTATGCCCCCTAAAAATATGAAATTTGAAACTGAAAAATAAAAAAAAGGGAAATAAAAAATAGTTTACTTGTGATATGAGATATCGTATCGGGTGAAATAGACCTTGTAAACCAGCCAACCGTGTAGGGTACACCAGTTGGTTAAACGGAGCTACAGGCAGGTCGAACTGAGATCGAATGAGCTACAGAAAGAAGAGTGCTTAGGAGGAATTCCAACCTAGATTGGAGAAGCTTGTGGAGTAGAATTAGGATTCGTTAGCCTAATGGGATAAGCTGATATTTAACACCTCATTTAGGTCTCTAATGGAGCCTATAAATACACCATGTCCCAACCTCTTGAAGTACAATTCTGCTGGCCGCTTTTTCTTCTACATACAAGAGAGAGATAACATTCTTCGAGAGTTAGGGAGATTCGATTAATCGCTCCACCAAGATTACTCAAAGTAGGTGTTTTAGGTAATCCATTAGAAGGCTATTGGGTAATATTTATTCGAACCTTCTATCTCTATTTTCGGCCACCATACACCGTCGACAGCCGCCGTCCGTCGCTGCCGACCACCGCCGGAAATCGCCACTATCGCCCTCAGTCGTCGGAGTTCACCCTTGCCCAGCTGCAGTGCAGCCACGTGCACTGGCAAGCTACCGCGCCCAGGAACGCCGCACGAGAAGCCCAAATTGTTTGCTTGCTCGTGTTGCACCACCGCTGCTCGTCGTCCGTCGCGCCCTATCCCAGCACGAGAACCAGCATGCGCTCCCAGTCCACGCGCATCCAGGAGACTTGTCGCGCACGCCCGCGTGTTCCCAGACGCGCGCTCCTAGTCCGCCGCAGCGTAGGAGACCTGCGTCGCATGCGTTCGACTTCCCCGCTTGCCACTCGCACCTACTCCATCATCCATGCGTCACGTGTACGACGTGCATCACGAGAGATCTACACCCGTCCGTGTGTTCCCGCCAGCCGCGCGTCCTTCCCAGCGCCCTACGCGCACACGCCTGAGTCCGCGACTGCTACCAGCGTCCCCGACAAGCGACCAGCTCTTGCCCGCGCTGCTACCCGTTCGCGACCTGCCAGCGACCGTCACTCGCGATCGAGCCGTTGTGAGTCCTGACCCGACACCGAGGCCACGCGAGCCTGATTTCGTGCTTCATTCAACAAATCCATTAGGATCGAGTAAAGGCCAAATCCGTTAGCCCATCGGATTATGGTGTTCTGACGAACTTCATCAACGACAATCAGATTCGGCTCCCAGTCGGCAAAAATTTTAAAAGCTAATGTCCATATCCTAACTATAGATTCTGTTACGTTAGGATTTATTTTGATAAGTTCAATACTGTGCACGTTGTTGACGTTCCTAATAGAACCCAACAACTGGTATAAGAGACCAGGTTTTATTCAACTTTGTGCACAATTTGTATTTGGACTTGTCTGTTTACATGAATTATTTGCGTATGGACGCAGCGACATAATAGATTAAAAATTGCAATAACTTTTTGCAGGTGATTTTGAATCCGACTATTGTGGCCCGTATGTATAGATTTTAATTCATGTTTGAATGTATGCTGTTTTATAAGCCTCAGACATGTCGAAAAGTTTTTGGGTTGGTGAGTGCTTGTAATAAATTATTCGCGTTGTGGGACACCGCATAGTTTACTGCTTTCATAGAAAACTCATGTACGATTCATGCGCGGGTCATAGGATGAATTGTGTAAATGTTCTTTTATAATATTGATTATTATCTGTCGGTGGGGCGAGGCGATAAACACGTACACGGATGCTATGGTGATGATCCAATGACGACTTTCCTGGAGACGACCAGTTCAACATGGAGAGTGGGAGCCACTGCAAAAGGGGAGTTCCAATACCTGAATCGGAGGACACATTCAACAAAGGACATGATTGTGCTTCTCGGTAACATTGGAAATTGATTAAATGTCCATGATAGTTGGATTATAATTCGTAGTTTATTATTGCCTATTAATCATGCATGTTCTTATGTGATTTGTTTGCTTATGTGCAAATTGATTCATTAGGAGCATGTTTAGGAAAATCCCGTAAAACAAAAAATTATATTAAGTGTGTAATGAGTTGAAATAAATAGCATCCAAGGCCTCCATTATAGGTTTGTCAGTGAAGTGTTTTAAATCGAGCTCAAAGGACGTTTTATTTCACATTTCACAAGGACAAATCTCCTTTGGGATGTGTATAGTGAGCTATTTCAAAAGCGTACGAGTCACGTAAAGGTGGACCCTCGTTTTTCTTGCTATCGTCTATTTCTATTTTTTTTTTTTTTTTGAAATATTATACAAATGTTTACTTATTATTTTATGTGAGTAAACACCAATCTTGTTTTTTTTTTTTAAAAAAAAAAACTCATTTTAATGGTGTTATGAGTTCTGTTAATCCTACGACATAATTTGATAATTTTATAACATCTAAGTCACAAATTGAGAAAAAAAAATCTTTCAGGCCCTATTTGATAGTTTACTCATCTTTCGCTCTTGTATTGAAAAAAATCCTATTATTTTTTCCGTTTCGAATTAATATATAGTTAGACATAAAATTAAAAAAAAAAAAACATTTTTCAAAAAATCAACTGAAAAAAAAAAAAAAATTATGTGGACCGAAAAATTCCAAATATAATGGATTGCTCCACTATAAATGCGGTCTTAAATTATAGTCTTTCTGTCTCTCACACAAACAAACAATATGGGGTTAGTAAAAAATCTGCACATGAACAAAGGAGAAGGTGAAAACAGCTATGCCAGAAATTCCATAGTACAGGTCCGTACACCTACATACAACACCCAAATAATTAACAATTCAACAACTTTTTTTTTTTTTAAAAAAAAAATCTTTTGATTTTTCCAGAAAGAAATAATAGAATTCAGTAGCTCAGTAATGGAGGAATTGGTGGCGGATTCCCTGCGCCGGACCGCGCCGGAAAGCATGGGGATAGCGGACTTGGGCTGCTCGTCTGGCCCGAACACGCTAATTGTGGTGAAGAAGATCATAAACGCGGCCCACTCAGCGAGCTTGCAGATGGGCTCAAAACTGCCGGAGCTTAGGATATCGCTGAACGACCTTCCGGGCAACGATTTCAACAGCTTGTTTATGTCGTTGGACGAGTTTTACGGCAGCCTTAAAGACGAAAAAGGCGTAGGGTTCGACCGATGTTTCGTTTGTGGTGTCGCCGGCTCTTTCTACCGGAGACTCTTCCCTAAGAGGAGTCTTCATTTTGTTCACTCTTCATCTAGTCTCCATTGGCTCTCTCAGGTTACTCTTAATTACTGTGCTTGCCATGTACTTCATTTGGTGTGTTTATTATAAGTAGGAAATTGGCCCAAAAACCAATTTGTTTATGTTTGGTTCGGTTCGATGATTCAGAAATTTTAATTTAGAAACCAACTGAAAATCGAAGATTATTTAAATCAAATTTTAATAACCGTATTAATAATCGATGATTTGATTTGGAAGATTTTTTATTTTATTTTATTTTAATTTTTGTCAAACATCATATTAGAAACTGTTCGAATCAAGGGTCGTTTATATGTGAGATCTTCTAATTATTGAATTGGAATAAGAAAATAAAACTATTGATTTGATTGTGTTATTAAAAAAAAATTAATATTTAATTATAATGAAATATCGATTTTTTTTTTTTTATTTTATCTTTTATGTTTCTTTAATCTTATTAAATGAATTATTTTTGAAGCATCCTTAAATAACAAGAAAAATATAAATGGATAAAAGTTTTAGTTAGGTTATATTTGTAAAATCTAGTGGTTAAATTTGAAATACTGATGAAATATAAATAAATTTTGGATTTTTTTTTTTTTTTTGTATTTTTCATATCATTTTATATAGTAAGATATATGTAATATTAAATTTATGTGAAGTTTAGTTGCAACAACTATATGTTGTTATTTCACTGTTATATGAAAATATCCAAATAAATAACTGAGTAAAAATGGCATAAAACAAAAAGACAAGACACATTAAAGTTATAATTCTGATATTAATTTTGTTCTTTGATTTTGTACGACATTAGACGGTTTGGTTAGATCGTTGGTTCAAATATTTTTAAAATCTCCATAATTGTGTCGATTAGTTTTTTTGTTGAAAAAAAGATGAACGATTATTTCTCGTTTCAGAGTAATTTCTTTTTATATGTTAGAACAATTCGATACTTTTCGTCTCTCGTGTTAAATCTTGACATAAACTTGATCATTGCACTGATTACTTTTAAGTTCAATTTTGAAATTTAGTTAAAATAAATAGTTGAAATGTATTACCATAATTTCATATTAATTATTTACTTTTGAAAATATGAATTACTTTTGATAACTATTACGTATATCGATAAATGTGCAGATAGATCTTATGTTTTAAACCTAATAAGTCATTATTTTATAAAATTTTAACTACAAAATATGTATCTCAAGTTTAATATTATTAGATAGATGGTTAATTTAATATATTCTACTGATATTAATGATCCTAATACAACACAAATTTTCACAAATAATTTTATTTATAGAAACGAGGTTGGGTAAAATCATGGGTCGGTTCAAGGCCCGTGGTCAACGAGCCTGATCGGGCCGTTTTAGGCCGTGGACATGTCTGACGTTAATATATGTATTTACACATCGAAATGCAGGTCCCACCAGCCCTAGACAAGAACTCAGACAAACATATGAACAAAGGAAAGATTTACATATCACAGACAAGCCCAGATTGCGTGTCGAAGGCTTACTTGGCCCAGTTTCAGAAGGATCTCATGGATTTTCTAAGATGTCGGGCCCAAGAGATAGTGGGCGGCGGCGGTATGATGTTATCGTTAATGGGCCGTGTCTCGCCCAATGCCTCTGCTGAAGTGGGCTGCTACCAGTGGGAACTGCTCGCTCAAGCTCTCGTGTCCATGGTCCCTCAGGTGCATATATATATGTAATTAAGTAGGATTAAGGAATAATGTTAATAATAACAATAATAATAATATAAAAAGAAAGAAACAAAAAAATGTAGACTGAAATTTGTATAGCAAATTGTAGGCCTACTTTTATTTGTTTAACTAATTAGTTTTTGTGGACTTTGTAGGGAATTGTCCGGGAGGAGGATATCGACTCTTTGAATGTTCCGTATTACGCGCCGTCACCTAAAGAAGTAAGAGATATAATCCAGGAGGAGGGTTCGTTCGTCATCAATCATTTAGAGGCGTTCGAGATCAATTGGGATGAAGGAACCGAGCGCGAGTGCCACGACTACGAGCTCCGAAAATCATCGAGAGGCCATCGAGTGGCCAAGACAATTAGGGCTGTGGTGGAACCAATGTTCGAGTCCCATTTTAGAAAAGGTCTCATGGATGAGTTATTTGCTAGGTATGGTCAATTGGTCGACGACTATTTTTCTAAAACTCAGCCAAGGTATATAAATCTAGTCATTTCAATGACGCGAAAAGATTAAGCCAAATAATGATATGTAGAAGCAGATAATGCTCCTTTACCCACTGTAGGAACATGTTAATATGTCCACCGGTTATGTGGCATGCACACATTGATGATGTTAATATGTTCAAAAATACATCACTAGTGAGTGCATGCCACATAAACGGTGGGCATATTAATATGTGGCCACCGTGAGTAGATGAAATGTTGAAGCACGCATAATTAATGGGACGGACAATTATTTAAGATTATCAATGATTTTTAACTATTTTTATTGTTATATTGTTAAAATAAGGTCCACCATTTTGGCTTTTTATTATTCCCCGACTAGATTAAGGCACTATGCAATTATGCCATGCCATCCACATAAAAGTCAAACAGATGATTAAAATTATGGCTTCAAGTGTTTCGGCATTATGGAACATGGAAAGATCGCAATAAACTGAATATGTGTATAAATCAAGCAAGACACCAATTTTGAGGATTGACTGTGGCAATCGGTAAGGATATGATTTCTCCAAAATTTTATTATGATAGATATAACTGAGTATTTTTGGGATGTGATCTTCAAGAGATCATACATATATTGTATATGGGGAAAAATAGTTGTGATTGTAATGTAATAGTCGTGATTGACCTTGTTATACTTTATTTTTCTGGATTTGGCTTGCTTCTTTTGGACTCAAGGGTCAATATTTATACACGGAAAAAGGTGATAACGCATTAAATGCGGAGTGCCTGTTTGGACATAGGATTGCGCCGTGTGTTTTCATGCAAAAGTTTATGGGACAACTTGGGCAATGCTATCAACTTTATCAGTGAGCATTCATATGGTAAAGGTGATCTACAGTCTTCCCTGGTAAGTTTGCGCGGGTGATCGGCATGTCGATCGGATGATCAACAATCTTAATTGTGTCTGTTTGGGTCGTCGGCAGGATGATTTCTGTGTGATGGGTCTTTTCCGTCTTATTCGCTAAAATTTGAATGTGGGCCATGTCTTCTATGTGTTCTGATTTTTTAGGTACGACATAGAGGCCCGAAGTTTTTAGGCGGGGAATGATAGCTTGAGCCACCTAGAAAGCTCTGCCCCAAACCAATTTTTCAGCAAAATTATAGCGACCTTATTTTTGTCCAAGATTCGAGTTTTTCGCATTATTTTCATCTGAGTATACGATAGAAGAGTAAGTACCTTGACTAGTTCTTATTACTTCTAGTTTGTTTTCCTTTTTGCTTGTTAAGTTGGTCTTTTGGTGAGAATCTTGTGTGATGCTAGTTTTTAGGACTTCGCTTTATTTCATTGATTGGGTAAGTATGTTATGAATTCAATACGTGCTTATCTTGTGTAACGGTTCAGACTTTGCTTAAAACGTGATGATTTTGTGAAGAAGGCTTGTGTTAGATTAACTAGGATCACTTTTTGCTCGCATGTTTTCACCTAATTTATTTTCATTTTCTTGAGTTTTGGAGACTATAGTCAACCAAAGTTCCAATCTTTCTTTCAAAACTTGCATCTTTCATCCATTGTCTAATTTCTTTATTTCAACCCCTAATCAAGCGAGTAGTATGTTTATGACCTTATAGAAAATAAACTATAAAGAAATAAATAAAACGTCATAAATAAATAATCTATATATATATAACTGTTAGCAATCTATTAAATAAAACATCATAAATTTTACCTCATAAATTATACGTACATAATCTATATATATAATTGTTAGCAATATATTAAATAAAACATCATAAATTTTACCTCATAAATTATATGTACGTGCTACCTACTTTCCAAAAACTGATTCTGTTAATTAAGACAAAATTGTTACATTTTATATTAATTGAATAATAATTATATTCTTTTGTTGTATCATATAATAGTTATTATTAGAATTAATAATTATATATTACACTAAATGATATATGAAAGTTACATAAACATAAAAAATTATATTGTAAAATTTTTTGTTCAAGTTATTTATTTCAAAATTACTATTATATTTTTTATCTGATTAAGCAGTTATTTTTAAATAAATGAATTTATTTTAATGTCATAGTAAAATACCTTAAAATTGCATAAGCAGTTGTTAGAATAAATTTAGTATTTTTCAGCAAATTAATTGGTCATGATGTTCTAAAAATTACAAATATTACATTATTTATTACATTTTATGCAATCAGTATAGTAATCCATAAGCAATCAAATAGTTACGTACTATTTATTTTGACCATTAAATTATTAAACATAATACCATTATGTAACTTATAATTTTAATATTATATGAATAAATAAAACTTATAATATTCTATGTTTAGAATTCAATACAATTATCTAACTTATAATTTTAATATTATATGAATATAAATAACTTATAATACTTTATTTATATATGTCAAATGTACATGGTCGAATAGATGAATATAAATAACTTATAATACTTTATTTATATATGTCAAATGTACATGGTCGAATACTAGTTATTTGTAAACTCACAATCTAGTATTTATGCAAATAAACATGATAGTTTTCGTTATTTTATTAAAACATATAATGGATGTGAATATGTAATAAAAAGAATGTTGTGTAATGGAGTAAGTAATTTCCTCTTTTGGCCAATTTACACGTATCCTACATGTTTTACAAGTAATTGTAATCTTACGATTAATTGCAATTATTTAGCAAACCTACGAAAGGAAGAATTCTTATTTGTATTTATGCAATATTATCTGTTGCCAAACGTGAAACCTATCTGTTCCCTTTTTTAAGGAGCATTGAATAACCAAAGAAAAGAAAACATGGAAATAAATTATAACAATCAGCTCTCGCGTAACAGAAGCTCGACGATTAAGTCTGTAACATCTTTTCAAAATTTAAAACTTGAAAAGCAGTGATAATGAGTACGACGCCTGCCCTACTGTGATCGAGGTTTATCGTGGATTACAACTAATCCATATACGGTAGATAAAAAATTTTCATCTAGTATATAATAAGTGTATGCGTTTTATCATGATGGAAGCTGCAATAATTCACCGTTAAGTTTATGCGTTTTGTTTTTGTTACACATGGATTCTCCCATGATGATAATCATTCATCACAGTGGTGAGTGGAAGCAGAATGAATACATTAATTTTCAGGTGTCGGGTGTTTTGGTTCAACAACAATGCTGCTACGACGAGTTGTGCAACGTTGTCATGGAAGAACTTGGAGTTACATCGACAGATTGTAGTTTGGAGTTGAAATACCAACTTAAAGAAGGATATCCACCGATGCGCATAAAAGACGATAGAAGTCTTAAATTCTACGTTGAGGCAAAGTCAAGGGAACAAGACTACACGAAGTACCCTGTATGTCTTGTAGTAAACTCTACATTTGAGGTGGCGAGGTCGGACAAGAGAGCCACGACTTTTGAAGAAAATGATTTGAACACATGTATAGCTCCTTTGAGGTACGCTGCTCTTGACAATTATGTTGAAAATCCGGAAGAGCCTATGAATTTTATGGCGTTTACACGCAAAGTTGCTGAAGATATGATAGTAGACGCCGCTTATACTGAACATAAACTGGACATATACCAGCCTGATGATAATATTGTTTCGATCGAGGATCAGTTGACCTCTGATTTGGTTGTGGGGGTTTAGTTCAAGGATAAATCAATTTTGCAGAGGTTTTTAAGTGTCCATGCAATTAAGAATCAATATCAGTTCCGTGTTGAAAAGTCGTGTAATAAACAGTATTATGTGAAGTGTATGTCTTAATTGCACATGGTTTGTTAAAGCATCTCGTGTTGGTCATTCTAGCACCTTCAAGATAAGAGAGCTCGGAACCAAACATAAATGTTCATTTGATGTTCGAGCAAGTGGTCAGAGGCAAGCTACTTCAATATTGTTTGCAACTTTATCAAGTTGAAGTTCATGAACAATAAGACTTCATATACGGCTGCGGACATCATTGATGACATGAAAATTAGATATGGTATAAACTTGTCGTATCACAAGGCATGGAGATCAAAGCGCAAAGCTATTGATGAAGTTCGGGGAAAGGCTAGTGATTCTTATGATTATGTTCAACAATATCTTGATAAGTTACATTCATCAAAACCAGGAAGTATACTGAAGTTGTGTGCAACTCCGGATCAGAATTTTTTGTACGTGTTAATGTCTCTTGTGCATCTGTGAAAGGATGGAATCATTGTCGTCCGATTGTTGTTGTGGATGGGACATTTCTAGCATCGTCGTATCGAGGAATTTTGTTAACAGCATGCTGTCAAGATGCGAATTTTCACATTCTACCACTTGCATTTTGTGTTGATTCGGAAAACAATCAGTCGTATTTGTGGTTTTTCAAAAAATTACAAACACTGATTGGTGGCAGAGATGGGTTATGCATCGTTTCAGATGGACATGAGAGTATAAAGAATGTTGTAGAAAAGGTAAATATATACACTAAATTCTGTTGATGGTTTAGTTATAGTTAACATAGTGAAAATAATTAATATGTTTATTACCGGTTCATTGCCCTTTGATGCATTCCTCAATTTTTCCGCCGTACTTCTATCAACTTCCTCAAGAAATTGCGTTGTGAGCGGAGAAAAGTTGTCAACTTGATCAAACATATCTCCGCAAAATGGTGGAGAAGGCTCAAGAACCTGATTGAAATACTGAATATACAGTTTGATTCAAAAAAACCAGAAAAATTAAGTGTATATATATATGTAATATATATAACATAAACTCATAAAGATTTTTTATTTTGTTTAAATACACGATCAGCGGCGCGCTTCATGAGAACTTCATATTTAGTTCTTGTTGCCGCGATACGAGGCTCAGGAACATCCTGTTTAAAGCCAAACCCAAAAAGAAAAAAAAAAAGTAATGTATAGAAATGCATATTTAATGATTAGTTTTTTGGTGAACAGAACAAATGTTTGTTAGTCTTTCAAAAATTACATCTGCTGATACATATTAACCAAACATAAACAAGAATTGAACTAAACATATAATGATTCTTGAACTATCAATCAATAA